CCTCCCTGGTCCTCGTGCCTTGTCCTGCTAACCTTCACCTCCCCCCTCTTGTTGTCGGGATGGGTGGATCGGACTTGGGGGCGGCGGGGGCCGGGGCCCACCGCGGGCCATCCCGGCGAGGGCCAGGGCGGCCGTGGCCGCAACTAGACACCAGTGGCCATCGCATCAGCAGCTGCGGCCATGAGGGCATCTCCATCACCACCTCCCCCCCTATATTCTGAGCATCGTCGTCGTTCCGCACCTGGCCTCCGCCACCCGCGCACAGTGCGCCACCGCGAGGGGAGGGCCCAAACCTCCCTCGCGCCTGGGTGAAAGCCCGAAGGCGGCAAAGAGACCGACGTGCTGGGTACCTTACGCCTGCTTGCAGGCGAGGGATCCCGCTGGCGGCCTCTGGGATGCCTGTTGGGGATTCCTATGGGCCGAGGGAGAAGCCCTTGGGTCTTCCATTGCTGGCGGCCATCCTGGCAAGGGCTAGGGCGGCCGCGACCGCAACTAGACACCAGTGGCCATCACATCAGCAGCTGCGGCCATCAAGGCACCTCCATCATCATCTCCACCCCCTTTTTCCGCGCACGCACCTTCCATTGACTTTAACTGCACCAGCTCTGTCGAGCCTCCACAGCCTGTCCCCGCATACTTTTGGCAACCCGTGCGCCACCCCCCTCAACTCCCATCCTCTGACCACATCGGCGCCCCAAGTGGGTTGACCCAGGGCATCCACAGGGCACCGGCCCCAAGAGGCCGGGGGGCCCGAATGGGGGGGGACCCGCAACAGGGCCCCTATGGGCCCATCAATGATTGCCTTCTGTACCTTGCCGTCGACCTCTACCCCACTTCCCACTTCCCCAAGTTAGTTTTCGATGTGTGATGCGATGGCCTCTCCTTCTCTCTCTCTCTCTCTCTCTCTCTCTCTCTCTCTTCCACCCCATCTGGGGTCGAGCCTCACCGTTTCTTTTTCTTACCTTTCCCTGGTCACAATTTCCCACCCTCTCCTTAATTATCCTCCCCCCCCGCCCCACGGGGTTCAGCCGTGGAGCGGGGGCGGGACCGGCGGCCGCGTCGCACGACTCTTCGGCCGAAAGAGAGAGAGAGAGAGAGAAAAAGAGAGAGAGAGAGGGAAAAAGAGCGAGAGAGAGAGAGGGAAAAAGAGAGAGAGAGAGAGAGAGAAACAAAAAAGAGAAAAAGAGAGAGAGAGAGATCAAAAAAAAACGGAGGAGGCCGGAGCGGGCCGGAAGCAAACACGGGCGAGCGGGAGAAGGCAGGGGGGCAGCAGGGTTAGGTCGGGCATGTACTCCTACAGGGGCATTTTTGGCGAAAAATCGAACAAAGTCTAACCACATTCCATTACCGTGGGTACCCTGATTAAGGGCCCAACCATATGCAGTTGTGAGTGCCGCAATTGTGAGTATCTTCTTCGGCGGCGCCCACGAACCGCATGAGGGGCATGCCGAAATGTGACGGGGCAGGCGACGCGAAGAAAAACGATTGGTCGAATTGCGAGAGGCTGAACGCGGGCGAGCATGAACGCGAGTGAGTCCAAGTGTGAATGGGCCTGCGCGCGAGCGAAAATATTTGCACGAATGCGATCGTGGCTACACCCTGCGAAATGCTTAAGAAATCATGGGTTAAGAAATTCATAGTCTCAGAACTTGAATACAGGCCCAACAGTTCTATCAAAATCTTAAGATTTACATTGAAACATTAAGAATAATCGAGACTCTCGCCGAAAATTTAGGTTTTCTTCAGCATCGCCTAAGGTGTACGCCTCGTGTAAATGTGTACGAATGTGAATTGTTCGGGCACGCCCGTCTGCGCACTCGTGAAACTGAGCGTGGCCGCCGCAAAAAACTCCCGCGGGCACCCCGGCGGCAGCGCCCGCGCGCCGCGACGCCCACGTCGGCGCGCCCCTCGCGGGGATCGCGCCCGCTTCCTTCCCTTCTCTTCCTCTTTGTTTGCCCGCGCGCTCCAAAGTCCAAAGCTGCGGGCGCGGCGCGGCGCGGAAACCCCGCGACGCGCGCCGGTCGCCCCGGAAGGGCCCCGGCGACGCGCGCGGGTCGTCCGCTGCGCGGAGCAAACAGAGCTAGCTAGCTAGCTGGCTGGCGGATAGCGGGCGAGGCTCTGGCCGCCTGGCAGAGCGACGACGGGCGAGCGAGGCGCAGGGAAGAACGCAGCAAGGAGTTCCCGCGACGCGCGCCGGTCGCTCCGGGAGGGCCCCATCAACGCGCGCGGGCCGTCCGCGGCGCGAGGCCAAACAATTATTTGGGCAGGCGAGAGAAAGCGCGGCTCGGGGGGGGTCGCTCCTCAGGTCAGGCCTCGCGGATAAACTCGGTGAAGCCGAGCTCCCTGGTGAGGGCCGTCGCCTCCCTCCTGCGCCGCTTCGTGCGCGCCGCAAACTGCTCCAGCTGCTTCCGCAAGCCCTCCGGCGGCCCTGCCGGGAAGAACTCGATGCGCGGCGCCCGCGTGAGCAGGAGGTCCTCGTGGCGCGCGGCGCGCGAGAGCAGCGCATAGAGCTCCAGCCACCAGTCGTCGTCCTCCTTCTTGCCGTTCCCGACCTCGTGGCGGCCGCAGTCCAGGATCACGCCTGGGCGACGTCGGCCGTCGACGACGACATCCACCAGGCCACTCCTCCACCGCTCGTTTACAACGACCACAGCGAGAACACCGGAAAGACCATCGCTGGTGGAATGGAATCTCCCGCGAATGCAAAGCAACATGCGTACGGGGGGGAGCGGGCCTCCTCCTCCTCCTCCTCCGCCCCCTTCTTCTCCCCAGAGGTCTGGAGCTGTTCCCTGAAACCTTGAGTGTGGCGGACGCATGGTGGCGGTGGCATTGGCGCCTTCGGTGGGGCCCCCTATGGGGCCAGGAAGCGTGTGAAGGGTGTCCCGACATGGGTGTGGGGGACGCATGCGGGCGGTGGCACTGGGGCCTTCGGTGGAGCTCCCTGTGAGGCCACGAAACGTGTGAGGGGTGTGCCGCAATGTGCGTGGGGGACGCATGCGGGCGGTGGCACTGGGGCCTTCGCTGGAGCTCCCTATGGGGCCACGAAACGTGTGAAGGGTGTGCCGAAATGTGTGTGTGTGTGTGTGTGTGTGTGGGGGGGGGGGGACGCATGCGGGCGGTGGCACTGGGGCCTTCGGTGGAGCTCCCTATGGGGCCACGAAGCGTCTGAGGGGTGTGCCAACATATGTGTGGGGGACGCATGCGGGCGGTGGCACTGGGGCCTTCGGTGGAGCTCCCGATGGGGCCACGAAGCGTGTGAGGGGTGTGCCGAAATGGGCGTGGGGGACGCATGCGGGCGGTGGCACTGGGGCCTCGGTGGAGCTCCCTGTGGATCTGAGGGGTGTCCCGAAATGGGGTGGGGGACGCATGCGGGCGGTGGCATTGGGGCCTTCGGTGGAGCTCCCTGTGAGGCCACGAAACGTGTGAGGGGTGTGCCGAAATGGGTGTGGGGGACGCATGCGGGCGGTGGCACTGGGGCCTTCGGTGGAACTCCCTATGTGGCCACGAAGCGTGTGAGGGGTGTGCCGAAATAGGTGTGGGGGGGGCGCATGCGGGCGGTGGCACTGGGGCCTTCGGTGGAGCTCCCTATGGGGCCTCGACATTTGTGAGGGGTGTGCCGAAATGTGTGTGGGGGACGCATGCGGGCGGTGGCACTGGGACCTTTGGTGGAGCTCCCTATGGGGCCACGAATCGTGTGAGGGAGGTGCCGAAATGGGTGTGGGGGACGCATGCGGGCTGTGGCACTGGAGCCTTCGGTGGAGCTCCCTATGGGGCCACGAAGCGTGTGAGGGGTGTGCCAACATGGGTGATGATGCTGGTGATGATGACGGTCGTGATGATGATGCTGATGATGATGATGATGATGATGACGATGATGACGATGATGATGATGCTGATGATGATGACGATGATGACGATGAGGATGAGGATGAGGATGATGATGATGATGACGCTGATAGTGATGGTGATGACGATGATGATAATGATGATGATGATGACGACGATGATGATGATGATGATGATGATGATGATGATGATGATGATGATAATGATGATGATGATGATGATGATGATGATGATGATGATGATGATGATGATGATGATGATGATGACGGGAGGAGAGAGGAAGGGGGAGGAGAAGGAGGATAGGAGGAGAGGAACGCGGGGCGACGTCTCTTCAAAACGAGGACCCAACACAACAGGATGGTTGGGAAAAACGGCCAAGGATCGTCCCAAAATCGTCCCGGGATATCTCTGCTGGCCTATACGTGGATATTCCTCCCGTCGAGGGACGGGCCTGGCTTGAGAGCAGAGGTGGGGGCGAAGGCGCGGCGGGAGAGAGCCGCAAGGGGCGGGGGATCTCGGCTGGAGCAGGCGCGGGCTCGCGCCCCGGGAGGCCGCTGGGAGGGGACGGCAGTCGTGGTGAAGGGGTGGAGTGCTGACAGTGGGGATGAAGGAGTGGGGTGCAGCAGATTTCGTAACCCCCCCTTTCCCTATCCCCCCCTTTCGGTTGGCCCGAGGAAAGGCCGCTCTGCCGCGACCCTGTTTTGGCAACACCCTTTTGCACGCGCAGTGTCAGTGCTGCAGGTTAGGACGGCGATGGCGTCGGCGTCGGTCTCTGACACCCCCTGGATCGCTCAATCTTGAACTATCGCGGCTTCCCGATAGCGCAAATCGCTCGTCGGCCAGTTCTGGGTCAGTGGCGGCCTTCAAGCTTGAACGCCCGATCTGGCGTCGCCGCCGCGTCAACGCGGCGCGAACATGCAGTAGTCAGTCTCGCTCAGACTAGAGGAAATGAAATGCATAAGCACATAAACTTCCGGAGTGCTCCGCGCGGGTTTCTTGGATCGGCGCCGGAGGCGACGCCGGGGGGGGGCCTGGGCGCCGATCCAGGAAACGCGCGCGAAGCTTCAATAGCTCCCGATTCTGCCATGTTCTGCTCCTCGACCGACGAGACCCGCTCCCAGCGCGCAGGCGCCGCGCACCCCCTCCCAACGGGCCTCGCTGCCGGAGCTCTCGGACCTCGGCGCGGGTCGTCTGCTTCTTTCCTCCTGCTCCTCCTCCTCCTGCTCCTGCTCCTCCTCCTCCTCCTCCTCCTCCTCCTCCTCCTCCTCCTCCTCCTTTCTCTAGCCCCTCGGCGGCGCGTAAAACGACCCTGAGCAAAGGTAGCATTTGGCGGGGGGTCGTGGGGGGGCGCGGAGAAGCCAAGTCCAAGCGGGCAAGCCGTTGCTATCGCGTCGCACCCTGCGATCAGGGGCGATCTTTCGGATAGCCGAACCCCGCCCCCCAGGACCCCCTGGGGCACCCTGGGAGTAGAGGGGGGGATTGAATGAGCAGGCGGCCGCGCCGGCCCTGGGGCACGCGGACCTAGTCGCCAGGCTATTAGATGCACGCGTCGTCGTCGTCGTCGCGGTTCAATCGTTTCTTTCGCTGAAAAGAATCCGCGGTGCGCTCGGGCAAGCGGCACACGGGAGAAAATGGCGAAAGCGGCGGCGGGAAGGCGGGAGGGCCAGAAGAGCGGGTTCGTCAGCTCAGCTCCTGGAGCCCGTAGCGTTCCCAACGCCGCAAGGCAACGCACGCGGTGGATTGTCTCCGAAGGGCAGAAACTTGAATGCCGCCAGACACGCCAGGGGCTAGGACGGCGACGGAAAGTCAAGAGAAGGATGGGCCAGTTCGTCAGTTCATGTCCTGGAACCCGCGGTGCTGTCAGCGCTGCCTGAAGGTTCACGTTTCGGGCAGTTTCTGGCGGGGCGGAACCCTCCCATATGCACAAACACGGTGGCAGAGCGGAGGGAGGGCGGAACTTAGCGGAGCGGCGTCGATGTCGCCCGCTGGGCGTCTTGTGTAAGGGAGCGGCGGGTGCGCCGGGGCGCGTCAGTTGGACCCCTGGACGTAGATCGACTCCGTACTCCTCCATTGTTCGTCGTTGTGGATCCAAGTTCGCACATCGTGCCCCGCGATGCGCGACGAGCGCCTGTCTGCGCGCCTTCGCGCCCCCCCTCCGGACCGCGACGCCCGAAGCACGTGTATGTTGGCGCCCCCGCGGGCGTAGATAGCCTGGACATCGCGCTTCGCGCCGCGCCGAACGAGCCAACCTTGGGCTCTCGCGCGCAGCCCTAAGACAGCCCGGATTGCGAGGTGCAGACATCTTCGCGCCCATGCGGATGACCATCGGGTCGGGCGAAAGGGGGGGATAGCAAAGGGGGGGTTTGAGAATCAGCTCACGTAGCTGATTTTCACGGCGCCTCCCAGCGCCGGGGGCGGCTATGTATCGAGGAATGGGCCCCTCGGCGGGGCCGAAACTAGCTGCATGCAGCAAATTTCGTAACCCCCCCTTTCCCAATCCCCCCCTTTCGCCCGGCCCGAGACCAGCAGGACGAAGGTTCAGGAGGGCGCGGGGCGGCGACGAGAGAAGGGCGGCGGGATCGGGAGTGGGGCCCCGGAGATGACGGACCGGGGCCCTATAGGGGCGAAAACCTCCATGGCGACGACGACGGCGGCGACGGCGACGCGAGCGGCAGTGGTGACGACGGCGACGGTGACGGCTGCGACGACGAGGGTGACGAGGGTAATGGGGCGGCATCATCATCGCTCGGCCTGCGGGGCGCCGCTGAGATCCTGGCCGTCTCTGTGATGCGCGATGCGAGGGCTCGCCTGCGCGAGCGGGCGCAGACGGGCCTGAAACGGGCGGCGGCAGAGACGCTCGGGTCCAGCCGGAACTGAGCCAGACGGAGAAGCAGGCGGGCTCGGGGCAAGCCCGGCATCGCCGACAGTGCATGGGAAGAGGTAGTCGACAGGGGCGCACCCCCCCCCGAGTCGATCCATCTACTCAAGATTCAGAGCCAGGATTCAAAATAACTGAGTTCAGAAGAAAGAAAAGCGTAGTGCCGAAAGCTCTGGAGCACGCAGTTGTCATCCGGGTCGGTCATGATTTTCTTAGGGCGCTCAACGCGTCATCCGAAATGTTGTCGTCGCCGCCGGAGCCGATCCTATTCCGAGGCCTCCCAACATTCAGAGCCCCGGGCCCGGGACTTCCATCCAATGACATAACGCCTGCCTTTCCCACCTCCGGACGTGAAACGAATAATGGTGGCGCTGGCTTCCCTGGGTCCTTTCCAACAGTCGCAAGTATACATAGTCGTTATACCGTAAATCGAATGAGACAATCCACCTCGGGCCATAGGTCTGCATCCCGGCGATATGGCGCGCCCAGCGATGGCCCAACAATTATGCGCAGTCGCCCCTGGAAGTCATGTTATGTCTCTCGCGCAGCCTACGGATCAGTCGGTAGTCTCTGCGTGTAAGATTGCATCGGCTCGTCGTCGTCCTTGCGGATGCCAGTCGCATATCTAAGCATCCTGGCCTGGGCTGCTTTGGTCACGCCCAAAGGCTGCTTGGTCACGTTGAGGCCCCCATCAACCAGAGCAAAAGGCGGCCTGTCGAACCGCGGGGTCCAGAAATCCCGAGGCGTTTGCCGAGATTGGTTGTCTCGTTGCAATGTGCTGTTGCGCGCCTGGCCCAGGTGGCCCAGGCCTTGCGAATGCCGCGACGCACGGCGGCAGCGGCTGAGTTGCCGCGCGCGCTCCGCGCACCCAACCGGCGAAAACCATCAGCTCGAGGCCCCCTCGGAACAAGGCCTTCAGAAATGCTCGTCGCGGATGCAGGGCCCGCCGCCGCGGCGATCAAGAGGCAGTCTCGGGGCTGCGCGACGCGAGGGGGCCCGCTCAAAACGCGGTGCCGCGCGCCCCGCGTGGCCCTGGGCGCCTGAGAAGAGGCGGCGCGCAGGTGGGCATTGCCCGCGAAGGCCCGGAGGGGCAAGCTTTCGATCTGGAAGCCGTTGTCCCGTTTCTCTCGGTTGCCCCAGGGCCGCCAAGCCCCGGGGCCCCGAAGGCCCCCCCCCCCGAGCCCCTTCTTATTTTTTTGCGTTCGCACGCAGATCTCGCAAGACTCCTCGATGGGGTCGCGCGGGGAACTGTTGAAAAGACGCGGCGCCTCGGGATCTCCTCGCGGCGGCGATCTGGCACGCGCAGCGCCCCGAATAAGCGCGGGCCTAGGCGGCGGAATCTCCGAGCGTTTGTCGCGCATCTCTCTTTGCCAGTTGCTGCCGGGGCGCGAGGGGTCTTTTGGGTCCTCTGATAACGTGGGCGCGCCGAACATGATCACGCGCTTTGCGAAGGCCCCCAGCGCCCATCCCCGAGGCGCAGAAGTTCGCGACAGCCCACGGCGCGCGACGAGTAGTCTGGTCGTTGATGCGACCTCTCGTGCCTGGAAGCAACGGCGAACCAAAACCTGCAAGCGAGACGAGGGGCTGGCTGTTGAGATCTATGACCTCACTCAGGCACATTGGGCACACTTTCAGCTGGCAGGAAGCACCGCATCACACACAAAGTCGGCCACGCGGCGCGCGCGGTAACATGTCGCAAGCAAGGTCACCTGCTGTCTCCGAACGATCAGGCCCTGGAGTTCGCTCGGATAATTAAGGGCGCTTAGGGCGTGAACATCGGCCAGGGTGTCTAAGGTTTCCGCGCTGAGGTCCCGAAGCATTTCCATTGCGATACAGTCGTCCCTGGAGCATGTGTCACCTGGCTTGAGTCTGGACAGACATGTCCGAATGAGCTGCGGATCTAGCATCTAGCATCTTCGGCAAGTAACTCAAACGCTCGAGGGCCCACTGCTGCGACCCACTTCGGTGGCGTCGAGCTCTCGGGGCCCTTGAACATATTCTCGTTGAACGTCGCAACCTCCCCCCTCATCTCCCCCCCCTCCGTCGCCGAGGCCCGGTTCCTCATCTTGATCGCCTTCGCCTTACCCTGCCCTCGGTTCCTCTCCGCCCCCCCGTTACTGACGAGATGCTCGGCGCGCGAGCCTAAATGGAGAATGGACTGCTGGCGCAACGCATCAACCCACTGACAGCTGGGCCCTGCTCGACCTCGCGTGCTCGGCGGAAAAAATGCGCCCGGCGACTCAATGGGCGCCCCCTCGATATCGCGGGAAGTCCTGGAGAAGCTTCCTGGCCGCATGCGGCGGCCGCGTCGCCCGCCGAGGGCGCGACGGGCCCCGGGCGCGGCAGGGGGCCGACCTCGTCGGCCCCGACGTGGGACCTCAGACTCGGGAGGCGGAACATCCATTATGTTGCCGGCGGGCGGAATGTCCATCATCTTGCGGGGCTTGTCTAGGCCCCAGACCATGCAATCTCAAAGATCCGGAAAATGCGCCCAGGCCGGTCGCGCAAGAGAATCAACTGCAGTTCGTCGTTTGGGAAATCCGCCGAGGCGACGTGCCTGCGGGCGGCATCTGCGCCCAGGCTAGGCGTCGCATGAGGGCGCGCGCTGCGCCGCCGAGCCGAGCTCGAGGGCCCCCGGGCATCTCCCTCGCCAAACTCCGCCAGCCATTCCGCCAAGGCGTTTCCGCAGCTCCCCGAGCGCTCCACGAGCCAGAATAAAGTGCCGAGTGCTCTATCTCAACCAGAGACCAGACGTAGCTAACCGAGGCGGATGATGAAGGACGTCGTCTGCCGGCCTGAACTCGCGCTCGCGGGCCCCCGAGGCGCGGGCGGAATCGAAATGCGTCTCCAGAGGCTCGCCACGCGGGCAGATGCCCTCGCCCAACGGCGGGTTCAGCCCGACAAGCCACGGGCCCATCTCGAGCGCGCCCGTCTATTCCGCCGCGCCGTTCGGGCGCCGTCTATTCCGCCGCGCCGTCTATTCCGCCGTTCGGCGCCGCGCGAAAAAATTAGGCCGACCAAGATCTTAACATATAGAACGACGGCAGGGGAAAACGGGCCCGACTCGGGCCCCAGGGGCCCTCGAGTTACGCGGGGGCCCATGCGGGGCCGTGGAGCGCGACGAACCCCTAGCCACAAGTGGTGTGAGAACGGTCATATTTCCTGAGCTGCCCGTAGCTGCACAGGCGCGCATGTACGTCACTGAGGCTGCGTTCCTTCTCACTGACGCATGAAGCTTCTAATTTTTCACCCGCGAGCCTGGCGCGCGCAACGCTTGGCATCTCCCAGCCGAGAGGCTTGGCTTAAACATTCGGCGCAAAGACTGCGCGTGGTCTCCGACTGACGAGAAAGCGAAGCGCGAGCGGACAGCGGTCGCTCTTCCAAGCTGAGCAACGACGAGGCCAGCAATCATGGGATCGACGAGGTAAGTTCGGCCCTACGCCAATGAAGTCGACCTGTCGGGGCCCATGCTTGCCGTCGTAGTAGCAAGTGCATCTGCCCGCCAGAGGCTCGCTCCACGCGTTGCCCAGGATGATCGTCTCCCTGAAGGCGCCGGCAGCGATGGTCGTTCAGAGGAGGAGGTCGTTCAGCGCCAAAAATGGCGTTCGAGGGGGGCTCCCGCCGTCGTTCCAGGAGGCCGTTCAGAATCAAAACGGGCGCGCGCGTCCACGCATTGCCATGGGGCGCAGTTATGCGGGCATGCTCTCAGCGACGTCTCGCAGCAATCTTCGAGGTCCTGATAGTGCCGAGCGCGGCGGTTGGAGTCGGAGTCGAGGCGCAAACAAAGGCCCCAAAGACGATCGCCGCGAGGCGTCGACAACCCCGCGGCTGCACTATTCTCCTGTCGCAAGGGGCCGGTCAAGATGCAGGCCTTGAATGACTTGTTCACCAATCGCTGGTACCCTTGTCCGCCCAGCGACACAGGGAGCCCTACAACGTGGCGAGATGGCCTGAGATCTCTTCCGCATTGAAACTAAGCACATCGATGAATTCTTGCATGCGCATGACGCCCCGGTAAAACTCTGGCGCCGCGCGACGCAGCCCCCGCGCGGCACTCTTGCGCGGAACGCCCTGCTAGCTCCAAGACAGTATAACAGTGTCGTAGATGGTTGGCATCCTCCGAGATTTTCGGGCCCAGTCACAGAGCGCCCCGTCGGGGCGGGCCACTGGTGGCGTCCATGCGCTGCCGCGAGTCAAGGTTGATACCGGCGGCGGTGAGCCGCTCCTGAGCGCCTGGTGCTATCTCTAAGCTGTAGGTCGGAAGTTCCCCATGAGCACCTTCAAGGGATTCCGCGGCATCACGCCAGCAGGAGTGCACTTGCAGAGGAGCGTCACTGAGACCCTATCCTTAGCTGCGCCCACCATCATGCTCAGGTGCCCCTCGCACAACTGGGGCCCCCATCTGGTGCATGGTCCTTCGATTGCGAGGCTCGGTCCTGGCGGGGCAACTCCTCGGGAACTTATCGATGGCGTGCCACGACAAGCGTCGGTCGGGCCTGACGCGGCAAGGGGCGCGGTCACTCTGGGCCAGAACCGACGAACATTTCGAACCCTTCACAGTGGCACGGCAGTCCCGCATCCGCTGAGAATTCCCGAATTCGATTTTCACTCTGTCAACAAAAACTTCCGACAGCGAAGACCTTACGAACTCCAAGAATATGACATTGCTGCAGCGTGTTTTTCCACACCGTTAGAGAGCTCGACACCCTCAGTGTATTCAACACCACCAACACACAACACTTGTTTTTTGTTGATAGAGACGCGGAAGACGGGAGGGCCGATTAAAAACCCTCCGACGCTGCCTCCTCCACTGCGAGCGGTCGACTCCTCACCAGCGCGGCCAGCGGTAGCTGATCCCCTGCCACCTCCTGCTCCACCTTTCCCCAAAACTCCGACACGCGCCTTGAGCTCGCCGAACTCCTTACGCATGTCCACGACTACTTCCTCCGTCTTCTTCACCTTCGTGGTGCAGCTGGGCACCTTTTCTCGAGCGGTGCAACCGAATCGGCCATGACATAACGAAAATCCGCAGTGAGAGCACGAAACAGGCGAACCTCGCCTGGCTTCAGACTTTCAGGGACGGCTGCGGGTGCGCGCATACGCTGGGTAACATGAGCACCAACGGGTTCAGACTCTGGATCGGTCATCTCCTCATCAGCAACGAAAAGGTCATCAGTTTCTCCATCTGCGCGGGCTTTGTAAGTACCAGGCACGTCGGCCGAGGGCGCACCGCCAGCTGGGATACCTGTATCTCCGAATGCGCCTGCGAGGGGTCCAGCAGGTCGGCCAGCTAATCCTCAAACCGCGGAAGAGGAACAGAGGAAGCCTGTCCAGGAGCGAACATGGGCGAGAGAAGCTGCGATGTGGGCCGACACAAAATGAGCGGCGGTGGAACTCGACGTGCGTTAAACTATCCTGCGAAGTGATACTTGAGCCAAAAATGGCAACGAGACGTCAAAGACGACGAGGACGAGGACGAGGACGACGACAACGATGGTGACGAGTGACGGCTTTGACGACGGGATGACGGCGGCGGCGGTGGCATGGACGACGACGGTGATCGAGGCGACGGTAGAATCGACGACGACCGTGACGCAAGAAACTCGGGTCGGGCGAAAGGGGGGGATAGCAAAAGGGGGGGGGAGAATCGGCTCACGTAGCTGATTTTCCCGGCGCCTCCTGGCGCCGGAGGCGGCTATGTATCGAGGAATGGGCCCCTCGGTGAGGCCGAAACCAGCTGCGTGCAGCAAATTTCGATCCCCCCCCCTTTCCCAATCCCCCCCTTTCGTCCGGCCCGAGAAACGACGGTGACGACGACCCCGGCGACCGCGCCGACGGCACACACCCGAACAACAAGTGCCCTGGTGGCCCGTGGCCGCGCGGGGAAGGCTAAGCCGGGCACCACCCCCCCGCGTGCAGCAGCTTAACCTGCGGGCGACCCGGCGGTCGGCACTGGTGCGCCCACAGAGTAGTACAGTCGAGGCGTTGACCTAAGGAACCCTAAATAAGGAACGAGGCCCCATTTTTCTAGAAGTTAAACTTCGAGTTCCCATCGAAAACTTAAGGAAAACCTTAGGCAAGGTGTGGAACAATTAAGGAACACCGAGCCCCTCCCCGACGCAAGGGGTTCCTTCTTCAGCGCCCCGACTGTACTGTGCACGTCGGTCGAAACAAGTTGGTAAAAACATCAAGTAGGAAGGCGGATAAAGTGGATTGGGTCCAGGCCCTCCCAGAGAAGAACAAGACACAGCAAGAGCATCTCGATTCTTGATGTAGGAAGGCGCTTGAAGCAGATTGGGATCTGGGAACCCAACGGTACCTAATGTCAACGACCGATGGGAACTGCCCCCACCTGCCGGAGCGGCGCAGCTCCTCCCCCTCCTCCTCTTCCTGCCCAGGTGATGCCGCCCTTCCTCCTTCGCGAGTTGGCATTCCTCGTGCGGCTGGTTGTGGGCGCACGCGAGCGGCTCATGGTGGCTGCGGCAACCGGATTTTACAGGGGGTTCGGACAGAGCAGCGATCGACAGGAACCTGGCCAGGCGAGCCGAACACCCAACAACAAGCACAAGCTCGGCAGCGTCCTTGCAAGCTGTGTCTTGCCCGGTCAGGGTCTGCCTCCGGAGCCAGAGCACAATCGCCGACGCGAGCGCCTATTATCTGGATGCCACGACAATGGACACCCTAACAATCTGATCATGGAATTTAATATGTGGTGTTTAAACTGTCGGACAAATGTTCTAAACATGTTTTAAACATGATGTTTAAAGCATGTTTAACACATGTTTTAGACATCTGGAAATTATTTGGCAACATGCTTCCTCTCCATTGATCGTCCTCCACAAGTCTGGGCCATCTCACTTTGCGCATCGCGCTCCGCGATGCGCGATGTTCGCCCCCTCGCGCCGCACCCTGGCGGAGGCCAGCTCGGCGGCCTCGGCCGCGAGGCACAGGGCGCGGATGTGTGTTCGGGCCCCCGGGGGGTCCACCTGCCTTTGACGCTTCCTTCGAGGGCGACGAGGGGGGGCCTCTCGGCAGACTCGACCTCCACGCGAGCCGCCCTCCCGCAGCCCCTCAGAGGAACGGGACTGCCGTGGTGCACGGCACACACACACACATCTCTCTCTCTCTCCCCCCTCTCCTCCCTGCCCCTCTGCTCCTCACCCCCCACCTCCCCCATCTCCCCGCTCCCATGAGAGACAAGAGTCGAACCGATGGCAGCCGGCCTCTTCTAGTAAGGCATCCTGCATTGAGAAATCAGAACCCAAATCGGAGTACGAAATCGAGTCGAATCGGAAGCGGAACCCATCGACAGTGAATCGAATCGAATCGGAAGAACCGAAAGGAGCCCTGCCCCCCCTCTCCTCACTGACCCCCCCCCCGGCCACCCTTCGCCACCTCCGCCATCTTTGCCCGAACATGGCGGACACAACCGTATGTCACGTTTTTTTACGACGCGAAGGATCGTTGGCGTTCAGGTCGTAGCTCTGGCAGCCGTTCGGGACGATTCAGGCATCCCCAGGACGCCCTCGGCGAGGCGCAGTTGGTGGAGAGCATCCCAAGGATGGAACTTTTGGAGGGACATCCCACCAGCACTTTGGGCGACAGGTGGTCTAGTGAGATTCCTCTCCCCTCCTCCAAAAAGCCTCTCTTCCCCTACGGGGAGGGGGTTGCCCCTCCCTTTACCCCCCACCTGGACTTTTTTGGGGGGCCCCGCGAGGTGCCAGGGCGTCCAAAACGGCCTCGGCGAGGAAGCCAACATCAGTGGTTTTACTATGGTTTTGGCCCCATTTTGGCATCTTTCGGGGAGGGCCCGAACGTTGCACAACCAGCCCTCTGGGCGCCAGAATCATTTGTTGTACGAAGGTTTTGGCCCCATGTTGGCCTCTCTGGGGGGGGGGGCTGAACGTTATCCCACCAGCCCTCTGGGCGCCAGAATCATTTGTTTTACGACAGTTTTGGCCCCATGTTGGCCTCTTTGGGCGGGGGGGGGGGCTGAACGTTATACCATATCCTCCTTTGATTGATGGCCTTCAAGATGGCCCCAAGAGGCCTTCCAGGGATCCCAAGAGGGGCCCAAGAGAGCCCCAAGAGGGCCCTAAGAGTGCCCCAAGACCCCTAAAAGAGTCCCAAAAGAGCTCCAATACCCTTCCAAAGAGCACCAGGAGAGCTCCAAGAGGCGATGTTGAGGGCTCTCCTGGGAGGGGGCTGAAATCCAGGACCCCCCATATTTTGATCGATTCTCCCCTAAATGGCACCAACAGGCCTTCCAGAAACACCAGCCGCAGCAACAGCAGAGGCAGCCTCACCATCAGCAGCACCACCAGCAGCAGGAACACCAGGGATCATACTCTTTGGATCCCTCCACCTCCTCCTCTTCCTCCTCCTCTGCCTCCTCCTCTCCCCCACGCGGCCCCCAGGGATGCCCCGAAGAGGCCTTCGAAGGCCACCCCCTTGCTCCCAGAGATCGCTCGGTTCATCCTGGTTGCTCGCTCTGTTTCCCTAGATGCGTCCCGTCGCCCTTTTCCCGTCAGCTCTCGTGGACAGGGCTTCTGAATGGGCTGGCGGGGATGCCTTTTTGATTGACGGCTCCAAGGACAGATCCAGGAAGCGGGACGGGCTCGGCTGGGGTGCAGGGCGAGATAATTGGCAACGACGGCACGTAGGCCGACGACGCAAATGCACGTGCAAGAGGCAAAATGCCCCCCATGAAGATGCGAGCGACCCAGGAGCAGGGGCGCAAGCACCAGTCGGAGCTAGACGGAAGGGAAGTCGCACAGTGGCGCCAACTCGAACCGTACTGACCGGCGCGTACTGGCGTGCGGCACGCTGTGCTGTGGCAGCGCGGGGGGGCCCGAGAGGCCGCTCCGACAAACACGAGGAGGCGAGAGCAAGGAAGGGCGGCGGGCGCGAGAGAACGCACGGGCAGAAGAGGGGGAACCAAAGAACGCCTCACTCACAAGGACTCCTGAGCGTGGTCGGGCAAAGCGATCGCAGCATGCACGGACCAACCCAATCATGGAGTTCGAAACCTGCGACTGCCAGACCCCGAAGGTCGGGGGGGAACGATAGCAGGCATGGCCGAGCACCCTGGACCACCCTGCAGGAGGCCTGGAACACTGCCAGAGGATGAGTCACTTGTGCAGTCCAGCTCGAGGGTGGCACCCACCGAGAGCCGCGGACCACGTCATCGGCGAACAACGCGGGCAGCTTATCCATCACGATGGAAGGGGGGACAAAGCGGCGAGCGTCGGTCGGAGGGGCGGACCAGATGGGAGTCCGTCGGCAGTCGAGCAAAGGATGTACCACTTGCCCCAGGTCTGGCCCCAGGTGGTGCGGGGCGGGGTGGCGCGCCGGGCTGCATCCAGCCGTAACCCAGGAACAAGCGCCAGGAGCCACACCCCGGCCACGTGGGCGAACCACGCCCGCACCAGGGGCGGGAGTCGCACAGTCGGGGGTGGACTGCCTAAGGCCCGAGTTGTCCAGGTAGCCTCGCGGCAAGACCGCGCCTCGGAGCAATGCCAGTGAGCCTCCCGTTTGCACGGATGTCCGAGTGCACCGGTGGAGCCTCGGTGGCGGGACTTCGCACAATCCAGTAAATGAAAAGAGGAGAGGGAGGGGGGGCGTCAGAGCTGACAAAGCCGGGATTTTGGCCTCTGTGGTCCCTCCACCCAGAGCGTGGCGGGCCCTCGGCGACCGCGGGGGGAACAGCGCGCCAGACTACTTCGGGGGACCTCGCTGTCACTGTCCCAAGCAGCATCGAACGCCCGAGTGCTCAAGTGGAGCCTCGATTGGGGGGAAATCGCGCGTCGCCGTATCAGCAGGAGGACGAGGAGAGGAGGAGTTGCAGCCGATAGCCGCACAATCCAGCAAATGAACGGAGGAGAGGGAGGGGTGGCGCCATGCTGACATTGCGAAGACTTGGCCTCTGTGATCCCTCCACCCTGAGCTGAGGCGGGCCCGCGGCGACCGCGGGTGGAACAGAGCGCCGGACCACTGCGGGGGACCTCGCTGTCACTGCCCCAAGCAGCAACGTCGGGGGGAAGAACGTGAGGTGAAGAGCGTTGGAGCCAGGTGGAGCGCGCGGGGTGGGCCTATGGCCAGCATCCCCAGTCATCCAAAGTAGGCGTCCCAGAGGGGGGACAGGAACGGCCCCTCGGCCCGCGGGAACCGAATCAAGGGGGGACACGGGGGGGTGGGCTATTTCAGCCACCATCCACTGTCCTGAAGGGTCCCACGAGACCAGCGCGGGCTGTCTAGTGCGCAGCGCATGGGTATTGGTGCACCTCTGCCCCATAAGAGGTGGCACGGGGGTATTAAGGCCGAGGCCTGGCGCTGCGGTGAAGCCGGCCCCCGTCCAGGTCGGAAGCAACCACGAGGGAAGCTGGGCCGTGGGGGACTGCCACGTCACGCTCCTCCGTCTCTCTCCCCTGCATCGCTGTGCGCAGCAAAGGGCCGGTTGAGGACCATGGGGCTGCCGACCCAGCGGGCTCCGCCCGGAACAGCGGGGTCCCATATTGCCCACAGGGTCAGCGCGATGGAGACCACCTTGTAGAGTGAGGTGGGGGCAGTTCCCAGTTGCCCAAGGTCGTCATTGTCCAGAAAGCAGGCGTCGCGCTTCATTTGGTAGTCCCCAAACGTGGTGGTGACAACACCTGGCGGTGAGTCTCGGGCGATTTGGCGTCGCCACCCGGTTTGGGGACTCGTGCGGTTTTCCGAAGATGTCCCGGATACTGGTGGGTCCAGGAGTCACAAAACCTGGAGGTGACCCCGCGTCCCCAAACCCAGCGGTGACCTTCTTGGGGGTTCCAAATCGCCACCTGGAATCTCACCACCCGGTTTGGGGGTTCCCAATCCATGACGGGCCGGGTGGCAACTCTAAGAATCGACATGCTCGGGTGGAAGAAAGGCTTGAGCCGCGGACAGGCTGCGCGGACCGTCCTCCCCGGATAGGGGATGGACCAGACGAGCGGTTGGGGGTAGGCGTGTAGCACGCACAGCAAAGGGTCCCTGGCTGGGCGGGCCACTCCCCCCAACCGGGGGGGGGGGGGTTGATGGGCGCCCGAGGCAAGGCCCTGTCCGATCACTTGGGGCCGAAGTTCCACCCCCGCTGTCGCTTGTCTGCGTAGCGGGCTTCTCCTCTGGGGGAGGACCGCTTACCCTTGGCCGTCCGGTCCGTGTGAGTCCATGTGTCTCGCTGGTGCTCCCACCCGTCCCAGGACTGCCAAATACGCCAGGATGCTGCGGATCCAGATGCACCTGTCCGTGTGTAGGACCTGCCTTCGGGGACCCAGCGGGGGTTCTTTGTAGCCTCCCTGCCCTCGTCGGCCCGCGGGTTTGAGCGTCCGCTTCCGATGGGCGGCTCAGCTGCGCGTGCTCTGGTGTCGCGCTGCGTGTGCCTGCGCTGCTTCTCCATGACGCTTGGCCAGTCAACGTGGAGTTGGTATTCTCTGTCCATCTTGTAGGCGTCGTATCCAACTTTGCTCCATGCCTGGAGGAAGTCGTCGCACTGCTGTACCGTGTTCCGCCTGGGGTCAGACCTGATGTTGACCCATGCGCTCCCTTGCTTGCGGGCCACCTTTCTGACCCAGGCGCTCCACACCCCATTGAAAGCGCCCCCCCCCCAGCTGGTTGGGATACGCGAAGCGTGAAGAATTTGAGAAGCATCCGACAACATCGCCACCTTCGCCATCTTTAGAAGAAAAAGAAAAATAATAACAAAAAACAGCATAAACAACAACTTGTTGCGCTCAGCGCGGATTTCTTGGATCTGCGCTGGAGGCGCCGCCAGGGCGGTCCCAGCGCGGATCCATTAAATCCGCGAGGCACGCCAAACGTTTCTGTTAATGACACTTTCTCTTCTTCGACGAAGACCTCGCCACCTCCGCCGATCCTCGCACGACTGGCGTTAGGTCGGGCGTGTCCCCCTACAGGCGGGCTTGGGAGGAAAAATAAGAACATGCACGCAAGCCATGCTCAAACATAGGCAAAGAATACTCAGAACTCGTGCCCCGACAATCTCTGGACCATTATTGCAGCATATACGCAAACCATGCTCAAAAATAGGGAAAGGATAATCAGAGCTCGTGCCCTGACAATTTCTTGACCATTCTTGCAGCATATACGCAAACCATGCTCAAAAATAGGGAAAGGATCATCAGAATTCGTGCCCTGACAACTTCTTGACCATTCCTGCAGCTTCCTCCTGCTGTGGGACAGGCCCGACCTGGCCGTCGCTCGGACGTCCATTCCCTGTGCCTTTTTCGGCTTCGTGCGTGGTTATCTCGCCAAATGATCCAGGATGCTCCTCGATGGTCCTCGCCGAGAAAAAAAAACGCACACGTCCGAGCGATGCCAAGCCTCGAGGCCTCCTGGGCCGTCCTGGGGCCATCTTGGCTGCTCTGGGGGCCTCTCTGGCGCGGCGGAGCCTTCCTTTTGAGCTACACCTTGGAGGCCACCGCCGGCATCTTAGGAGGCGACGGAGGAGGAGGAGGACGAGGAGGCGGAGGAGGAGGAGGAGGAGGAGGAGGGGGAGGAGGAGGAGGAGGAGGAGGAGGAGGAGGAGGAGGAGGAGGAGGAGGAGGAGGAGGAGGGAGGAGGAGGAGGAGGAGGAGGAGGAGGCACAGGCCCGACTTCAGACTGGGCGGCCTTGTACTGCAGCGCGAGGGCGGCGTCGGCCACGCTGGAGGCCGCGGCGCCGCCGGCGCTCCGCGTGCGGCGCGCCTCGGGCGGCCGCGGCCGTCGCCCTCGGCCGCCCTCGTCTTCGCCCGCGCCGCCCGAGGCCACGTCGTCGGGAACGAAGGAGAGGGGGGAGGGAGAAGGAGGAGGAGGAGGAGGAGGAGGAGGAGGAGGAGGAGGAGGAGGAGGAGGAGGAGGAGGAGGGGGAGGAGGGGGAGGGAGGAGGAGGAGGAGGAGGAGGAGGAGGAGGAGGAGGAGGAGGAGGAGGAGGAGGAGGAGGAGGGGGAGGGAGGAGCAGGTGACTAAGAAATGACAGAAGCACAAAAACTCGGACCTCCGAGTCTGTTGTGTCTCTGTCATGCTTCGTTCGCCTGAGGAGGGAGCAGAGAGGAGGGAGCTGCTGCCGGAGCCAACCTGGCACTCCTTGCAACGGCCAGCCGTCAGAGAGAAGAGATGGGCGGTCGGGCACACCGGGGAGGTGCCTCAACGCCCGCCCCCCGTTCAGTCCAGTGGCCGCTCCCAGAAGGCGTCCGGGTCACACTGTGAGAGTGAGCGACACGCCTCACCTGGGGAGAGCTTCCCCTTAAAGGGTGCCTGCATCGGAGCAGGAGCGAGCGGCGATACTCCGCGGTGGGGTTTGAGGGCACGCACTGGCAGAGAGGATGGAGGGAGGAGTCGAAGGAAGGAGGAGGGCGAAGGAACGAGGAAGCGGTCGCCGTCATCGTTCGAGCTTTCCTGCGAAGGAGTCCGAACCTGGCTCTGGTTACCCCCAGTCCCTCGGAATCGTCCCCGCTGATGACATCGCAGGAGGGGCGAGAGGAGCGAAGGTGAAGGGGAGTGGGGGAGAGGGAATAGGGGTGAGAAGGGAGGGCAATAGATGAAAAGCGTGGGGGAACTGTGGGTAAGGGAGGAGAGGCTAGCTAGGTGCGCTCGCGCAATATCTGGAATCCTACCCCTCATTCGCATCCCTTCCCATGGCGATGATTTATGCCTCATGCGCCGACGCGTGTCACAGCGGACCTAAAACGCTAAAACGGACCCCATCGTGTCATGCGCAATCGGAAGAGGGGACCTGCGCAGATTGAAAGATGAGGTGGCTGACGAGCAGGAGGATGAGCGGGAAGAGAAGGAGAAGAGTAAGGAAGGTGGCGGACAAGGACGACCAGCAGCAGCAGGAGCCAGAGTGGAAGGAGCTGGAGAATCATGAGGACCAGGGGAAGGCGGAGGAGGGGACAGGAGGGGGGCGACAACGATGCGGAAGGCTTCGGATGGCACCGCGGTGTCCTAGAGGACCACGATCCCCCAGTGACACCTGCAGGATTTGACCCGTAGACGGCTGTGCCATCGGGAGTGGGGGGAGAAGGAGGCGAGGAGGAGTGGAGAGTATTGGAGAAGCCGCAGGAGGAGGTGCAGGAGGGCCAGGGGGAGGCGTGGGAGCGGAACGGAGGGAGGACAGCGACAACGAGGAAGGGATAGGATCCAAAATTCTGGCCCGTGCTGCGGCAAGATCGCCGCTTTGAACGACGGAAGCAAATCGCCGATACTGAAGTGGCCAGCGCTGCAGTGGGAGCACGGTTTGTAAGGACCGGGAGCGTTCCGGTGGAAAAGCACCAAGGGCACATCAGCCCAGGACAAACCTGTGTAAAAACAATGTGCGGGATAGGAGGGGGGGATGAATACGTACAGTGCTCCTGGTGCGCAACTGTTTACTGGAACTGAAGAGAGTGCGGAGAGGAGTCCAGGAGAGGGGAGACGGGCAAGACAGGCGCACTCGCGTCACATCTGACATCCTACACCGCCCAGCCAGCTCCGCCGGCTCCCTTCCCAAATCGTCGAATCGGGTGTCGAATCGCACCCTGAAGGAAGGTGCTTGCAATGCTTGCCTCTCCGTCTACAAGTACTGTGCAAAGTGCGCGGGAGCCATCGGGAACGAGGAAGCGCGCAAGGATGTCAGACGACGTGTGGGTGGAGAGACGATGCGCGCTATAACAAATGCGCGCCAAGGGCGGATCAAGCCCAGAATGTGATTCAGGGGGAGAACGGAATCTGTATGAGTGTATATATATATATATATATGTATGCCTCTCTCTTGATATGTACATACATGTGCACATGCGTATGAATAATATATTATATATATATATAACCACAGTGATTGTCTACGGGGAATGGCGAGGCGGTAAGAAGGAATAGGGGAGCGGGGAAGGCGAGTGGAGAAGGATGAGAGGGGAGAAGGGAAGGGAAGCCCCTCCCCCCCCCACCCAAACACCCAGAGACGCTACCATAACCTCCATCCTCCCCCTCCCCCTCCTCCCCTTCCCCCTCCTGCTTTTCCTACCCCCAGCCTTCTAGTTCCCGACATCCCCCAGGAAGGGCGGGGAGGGATGGAGGGGAAAAGAGGGAGGAGGCAGGATGGAGGGTGGGAGGGAGTGGAGGAAGGATGAAGGTGGGATCCCGCAGCCCGAAACATGTGTTCTTCTCAATCACACCCTCAAAGGTCTTTGTCACAATTGCCCTTCACTCTTGGCTAACACAACATCGTCTGGCGTCGCCCAAATGTTGAGCTCGTCGCCAACTCCCACACAAAACAAAAAAAACACACAAAAACAAGACGTGCGGTGAAGGCCCTGCGTCCGCGCGCTTCTCACTGGCCGCCCCTCACAAAAAGAGCCACTGGCTGCCAGTGACCGCCGCAGACCCTCAGGGCGGCGAGCCGCTGCCGGTGCGGACTTGCGCGCGCATGGCGTCGATGACGGCCTGCGTCGCCACGGTCTCGTCGTGCGTCCACTGCGACAGCTCGAGCGCCCCCGCGCGCACCGCCTCGTGCACCGCGCGCACCTCGTATAGGAAGCCCTCGGAGCCGGGGTAGTTGAACGGCAGCGCCCCCGCAGGCACGGGCGGGAGCGGGAAGTCGAGGACCTCCTCGGTGCTCTCGGTGCGCGAGACGAACCTGGTGAGCGTGAGACGCGACGGTGTGTGCGCCGGCCTGTGGATGCGCAGCGTGCCCCTGGTGCCCGAGTAAACGACCTCCTCTGGCGTGACCGCGTCCAGCGTGCACAGCACCGTCGCGCTGAGCGCAGGCGCCGCGGCGAAGCCACTCAGCGCCGCGGCGACCGACCAGTCGACGACGCCGCCGCCGCTTGCCGGCTTGGTGGTGCCCGCCGCCGCGATGCGCGCGGGCGGCGAGGCGCCGCCCGCGGCCAGGAGCACGGCGCCCACCGGGTACATGGCCACGTCCATGGCCACGCCGCCCGAGACGGGGTCGACGGTCCGCCTGTGCTCGCCGTCGGGGTCGGCGGGCCAGCCGAAGTCGGCGGTCACCGAGACGACGGAGCCGATCTCGCCGCCCGAGAGGAGCTCCCGCGCCCGGCACACGGCCGGGAAGCAGCGTGTCCACATGCCCTCCACGAGCAGCACCTTCGCCTCGCGCGCCCGTGCGATGAGCACCGCCGCGTCTTCGGCGTTGAGCGCGAGGGGCTTCTCGACGAGGACGGGCTTGCCCGCCTCGATGGCGAGCAGTGCGAGCTCTGGGTGCGTCTGGGCCACCGTGCCCACGTACACAATGTCCACCTCTGGGTCGGACACCACGGCGGCGTAGCCCTCGTAGGCGCGCTCGACGCCGAGCGCGTCGGCGAAGCTCTGCGCCGAGGCCTTGCTGCGCGCCCCCACGCACACGACCCGTGCCTCGTCGGGCCCGGCGCCCTTCAGCGCGCCGACGAAGTCCCTGCAGATCAGCCCCGAGCCGAGGATTCCCCAGCGGAGCGGCTCCATGGGCAAAGCAGCCCAGGGGGGCCCGCCGCAGTCCGCGGCCAGCGGCAGCCGTGCAGGGAGGGCACGGGAAGCACGCCACAGGCTTCCACAGCCCGTCGAGCGTGCGGCAGCAGCGGGCGCCCTGCCAACGCTGGAGCCAGACGGCCCTGGACAGCCCGACGGCGACGACTCCGCCGAAAAGGCGCGCCGCCTGCGGTGACATTCGACGCCGCGATGTCGTTCGTGGCACAGACCTGCCAAGCCTCGCGACCCCATGCTGGGACCACTTCTTCATCCAAGGTCGTCTCCTGATGACCCTAGGAATCGAAACTGGGCCATCGGAGAACCACGGCGCTTCGAAATAGGCCGTCCTGGTTTTGCTCCTGACGCCAGATGTCTGGACTCCACGCAGGCGCGCTGCCCGCCCATGCGGCTCACACGGGCCTCGCCCTGGATCCGTCGGATCTGGCTCGCAGGAGAGCCCAGAATCGAATCGATAAGTCGGACCGGCGATCGACATGAATTGGATCGGCGGCGGAAACCGGCAGCCGAGTCGGGAAAAGTCGAGTCGGCAGAAACCGGCAGGAGTTAGTAGGCCTCCAGTGAGAAATCGAAGTCCAAATCGGAATCCGAAGTCGAATCGGATCGGAATCGGAACCCATCGAAATCGAATCGGACCGAATCGGGGAACTCGAGATCGAATCGAATCGACGTCGAATCGAAATCGAATCGGATCGAATCGGTGAAATCGCAACGGGGCCTGGGCTCGGGCTCCTGGGCCATCTCCGCGCCAGAGGTGCCGCGCAAGGGCTCCCCCCGGGCCCCCCCCCCCCCGGGAGGCGCGAGAGACTCGCGCACCGACCTCCGACGTCCGCTCTCGACCTCGCTGCCAAGACTGATTGGTCGCCGCGGGGAGCTCTTTCATATACGAGCGCGTTCCACTACTCGCTGAGTAGCTACTCGTGGGGACTTTGGCTATCCTGGCTTTCTTAATACGCGTGGGGGTTACCCCCCTGACGGGGGTCAACCTCGCCTCGTCGTCGCGCCGCGACGGGGTAGGAGCGCTTTCGGCGCGCGGTGGCTGCCCGCGACGGGGGTCGATGTGGGGCTGTCGGCGGGGGTGGCGCCCCCCCGACGCTGTTCAGAAACTCGGACTATCCTTGGGTCGTCCACGCCGTCGAAATTGGACCCTGGCGGCCGTCTCGGACCTCTGCGGGCGCGGCCCATGTCGGCCGCCTGCGAGGCTGAACGTGCTCTGCCCACGAAGGGCCGCCCTTGGGGCACTCTGCGTGCAGCCCGCGCGAGCGACTCGCTTGTCGGCCTTTGCTCGAGTGGGTGCCGCGCTGGACACCGTCTCCTCGATCAATATATCTGTCTGCCCGTAGTCGGTGCTCAAATTCAGCCCAAGTTTCGTGTGCGGGAGAGGCCACGAGTCGGCGCTTGCAGCTTCGGATGCGCTCAGCATTCAGCGTGTACCAGGTGCCCAGCCCACCCAGTTGCACTGGAGTCCTCATGCGACTAGCGAGACCTGGAATCAGCATCACAAGGCGGTAATCAGTCAGGAGCCTCATCGGTGCCAGTCACTAGACACAGCCGAGGCTGCCCGCTCACAAAAAATGTCAGCACAATAAATGTTTGTGTGGAAAGGCTCGTGGGATATCCCATCGCAGGTCTGACGGGTGTCACTGTCCTGGGCAAACCATGGGGGGGAGTGCCCTGCCTTCCTCCAGGAAGCCATCCGCAGTCTTATGAGCACATTGGTGCGGTAAACGCGGCGACCTCTGGCCGGCTGCCTCTTGCCCTCTCGCGCTGGAGACTCCTCCTCCTCCTCCTCCTCCTCCTCCTCCTCCTCCTCCTTCCTTCTCCTCCTCCTCCCTCCTCCTCCTCCTCCTCCTCCTCCTCCTCCTCCTCCTCCTCCCTCCTCCTCCTGAGTACGATGTCGAATGAACAACAAAATAATAGAGTCTTACGCGCGATGACATAGCGACCTTACGCGGTGGCTCACGCGGGCCGCCCGCGCGGCCCGCCACTTTGGAGACGGAGGCACGTACGCGCGACCTTACTCGGGCAGCTGACGCGCGAATGTCAGCGCAATCGGCCCCGTTTTGTTACGTCACTCGAGTGGTGGTGGGTGGGGAACCAGCTCTCCCGCGATTCTCGGCGGGGTCGGTGGGCAGTCACCAGTCGACACATGCATGCGGGTGTTCGGCATCATGGTGTTAGGTTCACGATCAACGACGGCGCAAGCAGTCGCGAGAGCGGATGAGTTTGCAGGATCAGCCGCCAGAGAGTGACTAGGGGAACGAAAACTGATATAAACATACATACTGAAAAGGCCGCGAGGATTTCTCGGATCGGCGCTGGACTCCCCTCCTTGGCGCGCTCAGCCCTCCTCCTCCTTTCCTCCTCCTCCTCCTCCTCCTCCTCCACAATTACTCAATATGAAAATACTCTCCCTCTTCCCCTGATGGCGTCCGGGTGATGGCCGCGCACCCTCCGCGTAGTGTTTTTTTTACACACAAGATTCCCGGGAAATCCCTGGAAACGACTCTCGCTGAGGCGCCGGCGTCATTGTTTCCCAAAATGCTGCTCTCGTTGAAGCGCCGGCCTCATTTCTGCTCCCGAATCGTTCCGAATCGTGCTCCCGCTGCAGCGTGGGCCTCATTTTCGGATCGGTGTTTGGCCTCCGTCGTTCAGGATGGCGTTCTCGCCCCAGCGCGGGCCTTTTCTCGCGCGCCCATCCGCCCGCCACCACCGCGCCGCACCGCCACCACCACCACCACCACCACAACCACCACCAGCACCAGCACCAGTACCAACACCACCACCACCAGCACCACCACCACCACCACCACCACCACCACCACACCACCACCACCACCACCACCACCACCACCACCACCACCACCACCACCACGACAACCACGCACACACGCACGCACGCACGCACGTGCACCACCACCCACTACGCACGCGCGCGCGGAGCCACAGGTCCGCTACGACACGCGTCCGCGGATAGAGAAAATCAGCGCCATGGTAAGGGATGGGAGGGAGGGGTAGGACGTCAGATATGACGCGAGCGCACCTAGCTTGTCCTCCCCCCTCCCCTCCCTCCTCTCCGGCACCAAAAAAGAAAGGAAAGTCCTGGGGGAAACGGGCCCTGGACGTCAAGGCTTCTGCCAAGACTGACTTCTCATCCCGAGCACTCTCCTCGCCATCGCTCGGACGTCCATTTCCCGTGCATTTGTCGGTTTCGTGCGTGTTTTTTTGTTGCTCGATGGTCCAGGATGGCCCTCGATGGTCCTCGCCGAGGAAAAAATGCACACGTCCGAGCGATGCCAGGGCTCTCGACGGCCCCATGGCCCGTGACGGTCCAGAGGAGCCACAGGCAATGGCCCCCTAAACCTCCAGGTGCCATTGCTCGGACGTCCATTCCCTGTGCATTCATCGGTTTCGTGCGTGTGTTTTTCGCGCGGTGGACGAAAACGATCCTCGATGGTCCCTGCCGAGGAAAAATGCGCACGTCCGAGCGATGCCAAGTCCAGGTGCTTGAACGCCCGAAGCGGATGCGGGAAGAGCCAGGAGCCCGGCCTTGCATGCTTCGCTACAGCGGGCGTGATCGGAGGGGAGGGGGGGGGAATTCGCTCCCCCCCCGACTGCATCACGGGGGGCGGGCCGCCCAGAACTCCCGGGGCAGCCTCGCAGAGAGTCCGCAGGAGATCGCCGCAGACGTACGATACCCAACAACAACAACACAGGTTGTCCAAAACCAACAGCGGCCGCTGCTGGGCAGGCGGCCGTTCCGTCTCAACTGGACAACACCCGCGGCGACGCCGACAGCGAACCCTGCTCAAAGTGGGCAGCAACTGCTGTCGGCCTTCGTACCTATTTTCTCCATACCCGCTTCGATCGTGCTGTGCCGGCGACAGCAAAACCGAAAACCGGCCGAACCGACAGCGAAACCGAAACCGACAGGCCGAAAATAGCCTAGAAAGGCGCAATGACTCAGCAACGACACCGTAACCGACCGAACCGAACCGACCGAACGCAACCGACTAAGACGCAACCGAACCGACCGAAGCGTGAACACCCTCTTTGCGTGTCTAGAAGTGCTCCTGGCCCAAGATGCCCCCAGGAGTTCCGAGGAGGCCCCCACGGCCTCCAGAGCACCCCACGAGGCCCGGAGGGCCCCAGGATCCCCAAAATGAAGCGAAAAGCCTGGAGCACCTTGGGCCAGGGGCACCTTTAGCAAACACCGACCCTTGTCCTTCACGGCAAGTATACAATTACGAGACCCTTGACTCCTTGGGAGCGGACCTAAGAGACCCAATCAATTAATAATATTTGTTTCCAGCAGATGTATGAGATCCAAGCCACCCAGATCTATTATCCCCAATGCATGAACGGGAACCTAAGGCAGGCTGCGTGTGCATTGTGGTATCCGGGTTACGTCAGGTTCGTGTTGTGCCGACTTCGGCGTTGGTTTCTGACACCGCGGGGATCGTTCAGCCTTGACCGATCGGCCGTTTCCGAAACGTCCAAATCGTTCCACGTCGAACGATCCTGGGTCGCCCGCGGCGGTCAAAGTTGAACGCCGCGGGCGGGGTTGCCGCCAGTCGACACGACGGGAAGCTTCCGTAGGCGTTCTTCTCTTCTTCTTGTCCTTCATGGCGACCTCATCTCACGGCCGGCCCAGCAAGGGCATGGCCTCCCACACGCGCGGCGTGCGGCTCGAGCTCGCGGGCGCTTCGCCGCGCGCCGCGCCGCCGCCGCCGGAATCCTGGGCGGGCGGGCGGGCGGGGTGCCGTCGGGAGGTGGGGGCTGTCCTCGCGAACGGGGCGGGGAGTATAGTTTCTTTTGCTTCGGTGAACACATGAAGCCCACACTGCGCATGCGGAGAGGCCGTGCGATTCAGAGAGTCGACGGGCAGGCCAGGTGCAACCCACGAGCCGACCCGCGATAGGCACACTCACGAAGTCAACCGTGGTCTGAGAGAGAGTCGGGGGCGCGCAAACATGGAT